CCCCCCCCCCCCCCCCCCCCCCCCCCGCCAACCCCAGCCAAGGAAAAAGGGAAAGAAAAAGGATGGACCGAAGGGGAAAACAACAAACGCTTAGACCACCAGTACTTCAGGACTGTGAAGTGCCATGCACTGCTATACATGGTCCCATCTTTTTGGTTTACAGACCGCCCTGCCCTGGTGAGATTCATTTCCCCCAAGTAGTGGGTTACTTCGGCCCTTCCGATCCCAGAGCACTGGTGGTTTAAGAAAATGCAGCAGAAAAAAATCAATCTCTTGCCGCTGGGCTGACCTGGGGCTGCTGACACTGCAGCTTGGGACCCTTTAACCAGGGGTGTTATTTTTGGCGAATTTTGCACCGAATTGCACCGAAACTGTCACATTGTGCTGTTTTTTTCAACTTTTTTGCTTTTTTTGAAATTTTTTCTTGTTTTTTCTTTTCTTTTCTGTGTGATATATACCAAAATTGCCGGCGAAAATGGCGAATATTTGGTCCCCCGTTAACCATCTCTCCCGGCTAGGCCTCTGGCCACTGCCTCAACATGCAATCGCCAGTTCTGTGTCTGCCCCTCGTTGTGTATTTGAATCACCAGTTTGCCAGGGACCTCTGAACACGTCTTGAGATTTTTCAAATGGAGTGCAAATTGACCTGGCTGCAGGCAGCTAGGCCTCCTGCCGCTGCCTCAACGTGCAACCAGCAGAGCCGCCCGCCAAATATTCTTCATATATAGGCAGCAACCAGCAGTGCTGGCCGCCAAATATTCTTCATATACAATGTTTGCTGCGTTCTTTCCCTCGTCGTGTCCTTAAACCGCCAGTTTGCATGGGCCTCTATACACATCTGACAGTTTTCTCATCCACTGGACTCTGAACTGGGCACAGGCAGGCCGGTACACGGAAAGTGTGACCTTGACATGCAACAGTGAAAGCATAGGTAGGCCAGCGGCCAACTGGTGGTTTGATCTCCTGTGCACTGAACCCTTAACTAGGCCAGTGGCCAACTGGTGGTTTGGTCTCCTGTGCAACTGGTGGTTTGGTCTCCTGTGCACTGAACCCCTTCGAGATGTGTCTGGTAGTTAGGCAGTGCCTGATAGAGGGCCTTTTGGACTATAAGGGGAGCTAGTGTGTCCGTCTTGCCTGTGTTTCTGTAGTGTTCCCTGAATCCCTGGTGGTGGTAGACATTTGCGTATTGACTCCCTGGCTGTGGAGGATGTATGGACCTACAGTCTACGGAGTCTTCCATTGGGTGTGAGTAGGTAGTCTACTCTGATCTATGTGTGAACTGGTGTTTGGTACGTGGCAGGTACCAGGCAGCCATGCAGCCAGGCAGGAAGACACAGGCAGGCAGGCAAGGTGGAAGGCTGGCAGGCAGGCAGGCACAGCCAGGCAGGCAAACAGGCAGGCTGGCAGGCAGGTAGGCAGCCATACAGCCAGGCAGCCAATGTAACCCAGCCAACCAACCCAGGTAGGCAGGCAGGCAGGCAGGCAGGCAGACAGACCAACTGACAGATGTACCAATGGACCCATGGACAGACAGACCAACAGACGGATGGACAGACAGAATGACAGACCGGCATACAGATGGACAAATGGACAGACCGACCGACCAAATGATCGACGGAGACGGATAGACCGACGTACAGACAAATTGGGAATCAATAGATATATTAGACAGACAGACAGATTGGTTGGATAGACGAACATAGATTAGAGAGAAAACGGATGGATTAGACCGACAGACAGATATATTAGAGCAGATGGAGAGACAGCTAGCTGGCTGCCGGGCTGCATGGATGGATGGATGGATGGATAGATGGATTGATGGAGGGATGGAGGGATGGGTGGATGGATGGAGGGATGGAGGGATGGATGGATGGATGTGGATGTGGATGGATGGATGTGGA